AGATGGAGCAGAAAAGGAAAAGAGAGTCTGCGGCAGTTTATTGTTGCGCGGCCAGCAGATGCCACTCCAAATTTTGCACTTGGGCCCGACGCCGCACCAAATAGCCAATTTGTTCTCCTCAGCTGGTCCGGCTCGATTTCGCTCCGTCGAAACTTGCGGAGAAGGAAAAAGCTTGGAAATGGTTTTCCATCAAGTTCAATTCTAAAAGATAGAGATCAAAAATGACTCCTGAAACTTTTTTTATAGAAATTTTTGAGAAATATTTTGGAAGTTTTCGGATACAATTTGATTACAAATAGACCGAGTTAAATCTTTAAAACCATTTCCTAAAAGATCAATGTGAATTTTGCACTGTCAAAATACTTATTTATTTTATTTTACCAACTTGATTCAGTGATATATGAAATTGATTCTGTTAGATTTCAATCAATTTAAATCAAGATAATTTTGAGAAAAAAAATCATTTTGGAAAATTCCCATAAGAAACTTTGATAAAATTTAAAAAATTCAGTTCTCACAATGTCTTAAATTTTTCTTATGATGTTTCTTTGGAATTGAAATCCACAATGAAATTTAGGGTGAAATTCAACCATCAACATTGACTAGGCAGTTTTTTTAGCCTGGAACTCAACAAAATTACAAAATTGTTGTGTAAAAAACTGCGCCTTTTTAACAAAGAAAAATGTTCTCTTTTCACAACCTTGTCTCTGTTTCTGAGAAAAATGCATAAAAAAGTAATTGGCTGCAAAACACGGAGATGCAATAAACTGCTGAAATATTGCAGCTGTCTAGAGAAACAAGGGCCGTAAAATACCCAAGTTGTTGGTAATTGAATTTGCAATTGTGGCGCTAACAAGCTGCGCTGAAATTTGCAAGTCGATCGATCGATCCAATTTCAATGCCATTTGCAACCTGATTATTACCTTATTCTGATGCATCAAAAGAGGAGAAACTGCACAGAGAGAGAGAGAGATGAGCATCGTTAGCACCGCCGGGTGCAAAAATACGTGCAGAGTGAAGTGAGCGGTCGGTTTCCATGGAAACACGCGAGAATTTGGTGCTGCAGTGCCGCGATCGCGAGACCTCTTGACGCGAAAAAGCGCTCATTTTAACGACTGCTCTTTTCCTGTTACGCGCGCATTCCTCACGCCTCGCTGTGATATTTTTAATTTGAGGACGAACCGAATTTCCTCGAGTGCAACACTTAACAAAATAAGGAAATTTTTCAAAACCTTCCCCTTTTATAATTACTGAAAATAACAAATTTTCGTTTATTTGAAATGAAACTTGTACAAAATTGTTCATATTCCTTAAAGTTTTGAAACATTTGTGGACTGATTTTGATGATAATTTTTTTTTAAATAATTTCTCTCTCAAAATTAGCCTGATAAAAATTTCACCAAATCACGTTCATAAAAAATAAATCAATGGGTCAGTTTAATATAAAAAATTTGCATTTATCTTATGGAAAAGAGTTCAGAAGTTTTAATTTCAATGTTCAATGCTCTTCTTTAATTCACTTAAATTAAATTATACCCTTTTTGTAAGGAAAGTCATTAATTTTCACAGATGAACTTAAGAGCGAATGAAGAAAAAGAAAAATACAAAGGACTCTTTTAAACAAAAGTATTTTAAATATGTAATAAAAGGTGAAAGTTTTCATGACTTTATAAATTTCAATATGTTTTTTGTTCTGGTTAAATAATGAAAACAAATTAACTTTTTCCAAATTAAAGACTAAAAGGATCATTTAGCTGGCAGCAGTGAACTTTGAACTTCTCTTTTCCTGGTTTTGAAACCAGGAAAATCAGAGGCTATTTCTTGTTGCGAAACAAGCGGAAGGGTTTTTTTGAGAAAAAGAACAACAGGAAGCTGCTCTTTCGTTTGGTTGGGAAAACGCTCAAGAAAATATGGAGGAGCTGCTAAGGATGCTGCCTCTCCACTCGCAGATAAATCTCCCCGCAGTGAACACGTGTATTATGCTCTCTCCGTGTAATCCTCTTGGCGCGCGTGTAACCAATGTTTATGGCCCTAAATACTCGGCCCGCCAGCAACCGCTGCACTTTTATTACACGTTGCAATAAAACGAGCCATTGATGAGGAGAAGCGCCGTTTTGCACAGCCTTGGCTGCCAAACCATCTTCAGCCATTTCAAGAGGTTCATGCAGCTCTTTTTTCTGGCCGCAAATCCATCTAAATTGGAGCGAAAAGTCAATTAATTTTTTTCTAAAATTATGATTTTTTTTTTGCAAAAGGTCAGAAATGTTTAAGTGAATATGTAAAAAAAATATGTTTCACTGAAGCCGCAATTGAAATAGGCCAGCTTACAATTTGGCAAGCTTTTCTATTGGTTGAAAGAAACGACGAAGGTTCAATTCTGGATAATTGATGGCAGGTCTGTTTCGCTCGACGAAAGCTGAAGAAAGAAAGAAGTTTGCAGATTCGGATCAAGTGGCTCCGAGCAACTTGAGCACTCAGCGCTGCTCGACGCCACTCCATTTAAACTTTTTGTCAACACTTGTGTTTTATTCATTAAATATCTCTCGTCGCCGACGTTCTTGTTTTCAAAACGGACCCGCCCCATTAATCAACGCGCTTTTCGCAACAAACTTTCGACACAGGCAAAAAATAAAGATTTCTTTCGAAATTATTATTTTTTGTAAGTGTTTCCGCCAATTAAAGCTGCCTCTAAATGAATTTAATTAGACCACTTCTTCTTAAATAACAAAAAAAATCTGCCAGATTTGCCGCCACTCGTGGAGAATTCGGCTGAGCGGGCGGACATAAAAGCGCGCGCGGTCCAATTTGATCGGCTAATTTCATAATCCAATCATCCGGGGCGAATTACGCGCACCGCTGCTCTTTCCAATGCCAATTGTGCTGCAAACTCGCTGGAATGCACCCGAAAATGTGCAAAAATTACGCTTAATAAAGCCGATTTTCTGCACCACCAAAGCTTAAATCGCTAGATTCGGTAATTAAATTTTCCCGTTTTAAGCGCCTTTTGAAATTCACTTTTAATTGATTATTTAAATGATTCAATTTTATTTTCAGCGACCCGGAATGAAATTCTTTGATTTCAAATCGATATTTTTATTTAATAAACAAAATTATTGTAAAATTTTTTTATGAAAATCCAAATTTTTTATTAAAACTTTCATTTGAATTACAAATGGAATTGAATGTTATCTATAGCGGATTTTTGTGCTCCTTCCAGCAAAATATTATTAGTTTTTTCCAAATCAAGGTACTATTTTTGTCAGTTTACTTGGATTGGTTTGAAAGTAGTTAGAATAACGTAAAATTGTCTGGAATTTAATTTTCACATTTAAATTGAACTCAATTTTTTGAAACCTTTTCTAGTATTTTACACATTTTAGAGGCTAATTAGTTGAGACTTGTTGCGAGCAAGACAATTAAGTGTTCTCAACTTGGCTCACCGCAAGTGCAATCAAGACGCGGGGAATGAAGTTGCAGGTCTGGGCCGAGCTATGCAAGCAATCAATTTGAGCCCAGGAGTGTCGTTTGTGTCTTGTTGTTTGCATGTTCGAATTGCGAATGTCGGTCAAGTTTTGCAACAACCGAACGGCACCTGGGTCTAGGTTTGCGGCCGGGCCAGTCTCACCGGTGCACTTCAGAAATTCCACGACAATGCTCTCCGTTTGATAATCAGCGCATACGAGGCTTTGCTTGCAGCCACGTGCATCGACCGTGATGTTGCTCCCAACTTCAAAAGTTCAATTTGTGCGAAAATTCACTTTTTGTGTGTTTATGAAAGGTTTCTTCCAAATTATTTTAATGTAATTTATTCATTCCGTTTCTAAAATGAATTAAAAGTTTCATGTTTGTTGGAAAAAATTAAAAAAAAAAATGAGACTTATTTGTTGCTACATTGGGAAAATGCAAATTTAGTATTTATAAATTTAATTTAAAAAAATTAAATGCATGCAATAAATATTGAAATTGGAAATAAATTCATAAATAAAACTATTTATTAAATTTAAAAGTTAATACTTTTTCAGAAGCTAAAAATTTGCATTGAATTGTGTCGGTTTTTAGGAGAAACTTTTGCACACAGCGCGTTACTAAATATTTACATCTTTTCCTCCGGCCAGCGTTGAATAATAAAGTTTTTGTGGAAATCGCGCGCGAGTGTGTTTGGCCGCAAAGCAGCAGATGTCTTTGGCGAGATCAAAATTGCATCAGGCCAACCAAAGTTGAGCGCGAGTAAAAAAGCAGCATTCATGAGAGCAATTTATTAAAAAAGTTTTGACGTTTCAATTAAATAAATTTCGCCCGCTCTCTTTGCAAATGATTTGTTTACTTTGCAGCAGAGAGAGTCGAAACGCTTTGGTAGCTGGTGCCATTTTTCACCCCTTTAAATTGAATCATTTATTTTTGCCGAAGTGAAAAGTGGCGCGCCATCGACTATTTACTTCATCTTCGCAGGTCACTTTTGATCCGAAAAAAAGGTCCAGCCGCGCGATTCGTCAGAGTCGCAAAAACGAACAATGGCCCCTGATGTATGTTTTCGCCGACGGGCCTCGACATTAATCATTCCGCGTCCCATTCATTACCCAAACTCCAGCCGCCGGCCGATTTCCGCTTTTTACTTTGACCACCAGTTTAAGCCAAAAACGTGGAAAACATTTTTTCGCGTGTAATTCGGCGAACAAAGACCTTTTTACTAAAAAAAAATCATTCAGTATCAAAAATTATCTGCATTAAAATGCGCTTTAAACATTTAATTTGCAAAAACATGAATTTTTAAAGTAAAATATAACTTTTTCATTGAAATTTTATTAATATTAATCGTTATTTTTTAGTAGACTTGTTCATTTTTTCAGGTACAAATAATTAAATCAGTTTATGATAATAAAATGCGATTTATTATTTTTTAAATAAATTATAAAATTGAAATATATTTTAAATCTAAAGAATGAATTTTGATTTTACTCTGCACAAGAATTTTTATAAAATTTTTTGATTTAAATTCGCAGGTTGCGCGACGGAAAGCCGGTGGTGCTGGACGGAGGGCAGCACTACGAGGGTGGCACGCCCCTGCAGACGACCCTTCTGATCAAGAACGCGACCAGAGTGGACCAGGGCACTTATTCGTGCGTCCTCGAGAACGCCGTCGGCAAGGCCGAGTCGCAGAACGTCGCCTACGTCGCCATTTACTGTGAGTTTTTATCTCCAACCCTCTCGTCCCTGCTCAAAAGATTTGCCAATTCAAATCCGCGCAAATATTTTTACACAATTTACGAAAGTAGGCGCCGACCTGTACTTAAAAACGCATTAAATTTGATCCTTTGGAAAGGAGAATGATGAATATTTTTGTTCAGACTGGTGAACAAACTTCTGAAAATCATTTCCAGAGCAAAAATAGAATGAAAATTTATTCTTCTTTAATTTTATTCTAATTTGAAATAATTTTAATGAAATTACATTTTTAAATAAGAAATGTTTTTGAAGAGCAAATTTTTTAGATAAATTTGCATTTTAATACCAAAAAATAAGTTTTTTTAAACAAATTTTTATGCTTATTTAATCTCAGAAAGCAACGCATCGAAAGTTAAATTATTAATTCTACATATTGCAAGAAATTGTTGTATTTTTGAAAAATTATTAATTTACTCATTTTAAATTTTTTTTAGCAATATTAACTTATTTTATTTTAAATGTTATTTTTTCTATAGAGTTAAAATTCCTATTTTACAACATTTTTTCTGTTTTAAATTATCAAGACGGCGCCGTATCGATCCAAATCATGTAATTTGAATGAAATTTGGGAGTAAAATTGGAATGTTTTTGTGCAGACAAGCCGAGCGTGAGTTTGGTGATGGAGCCGACGGCGGGGGTGAGCGAGACTGAGCGGCTCAACATCACGCTGGTGTGCAGGGTGGAGGGTGGCAACCCTGCGTCGCTGCTGGCCGTGCGTTGGTACCTGGACAAGGAGCTGCTCAAGGAACTGCCGGACTGCGGCGTCCAGGTCACGACGCCCTCGGCCGCCGAAAATTCCACCTTCTGCGACATCGACCCCAGCAAACTGCTGCTCGAGTCCGTCGGCCGAAACTTCCACGGCAACTACAGCTGCGAGGGCATGAACGAGGCCGGCTGGGGTCCCATGTCGGACGACAAGGAACTCGTCGTCTTTTGTAAGAACAATTTCATTTTTATTGTTATTCGCGTTTAAATTAAATAAAACAGCAAAAAGTACAAGTTTAGGCATAAAGGATCATTTGGTAATTAGAAAATTGGGGGTTTAAAAAAAGTTGAATTGAAAGTTAGAAAATGTGTTTTTTTCCCCATTATTCTCATTTCTGAGGAAATCAAGATTAATATTTTTCTTTCATTTAAATTTATTGATTTCTGCACAAAAAATATCATCATAATTCTCATTTTGATTAATAAAATTATTAAATTTTAATTGATTTTAAAGTCAAATCTGTTAACAATTGAAATGGGTAGATGATATTTTAATAAATTTCGTGTTAAATTTGATAAAACTAAAAAACTTCGTTGCAGATCCGCCTGGTCAGGCGACGCTGACCTACGAGCCTGCCAGGGTGGTCAAGCGCAGTTCGGTCACCCTCATGTGCAGCATCACAGATCTGGGCCGGCCCGAGGCGACCTCGTTCAAGTGGTTGCGCGGCCAACACCCCATCCACGAGGTCACCTCAGCCAACCTCACCATCGACCCCGTCAACCTGGAGACCTTGTCCAACTTCACCTGCCTCGCCTTCAACGAGGGCGGCGAGGGCGAAGGCGCCACCGTTTTCATTGACGTCTTTGGTGAGTCGCCAATTGCTGGTCGACACACTTTGAAATTTTTCTATCACTTTGAAAAGCACCAATTGATGTAAAAATCAATTACAAATGCTTTTCACATATAAAAAAAAAAACAGAAATTATTTAAAAACAAATCGTTTTATTTTTTTAATTGAAAATTTGAATGAACCAACAAAGTTTTTTTATTTTTCTGATATTAAAAAGTAAGAGTATCGTTTTTCCCAAATTTTATATTAAAGTAAAACTCGTAAAACTTATATTTTAAAATATTTATCCATATATTTGAACAAAATATGTTTATTTACTAATTTTTTTAAATTTCAGCTCCGCCGACGTTCATCGAGCGTCTTCCGCCTTACCACGGCGCCCTGATGAACGCCGAGCAGGTGTCGTTGTCTTGCCGCATCGAGTGTCAGCCGGCGTGCGGCGTCAAGTGGCTCAAGGACGGGCAGCCGATCGCGCTCGGCCTGCCCAGCTCGCGGTACACGGTGAAGACGAGCGTGTTGCCGCCGGACCCACGCACCAACGACTTCGAGTCGGTCGTCTCGACGCTCGTGTGGGACATGCGTCAGTGGCCCAACCACGAGCTCGACCGCGTCCACGACAACGCCAACTACACGTGCGAGAGCTCGGCCACCCACGTCGGCCCCGGCGTCAAGAGCACCACCTTCTTCGGAGTCGAATGTGAGTTTTTCACTGGCCCATCATGAATTCAATTTCAAATTCATCGCCCCACTAACTTGTCTCTTTTGTAATTAACCACGTTTTCCAGTGGAATGTTCTCAACAGTTCAAATAATTTAGCGTGGATTGGCGATTCTGACACAAATTCAAAATTTCATTTGGACGAAAATTTTGGTTCTCAGAAAACTCCAAAACTGAAAGACTCACTTCGGTGGGGTTTTAATCCTCCTTATTCTGAAATATTGCAAAATTTTGATGAAAAAATTTGATTGTTATGTTAAATAAAAATCAACATTAGTAACTGTTATGTTTGTAAAATGTGAATTAATTTTCTGGACAGCTTTTGGTTTTGGAAAAGATTCAAAGAACAAAAAAAGCGCCATAAACGTCATAGTTTTTGACATTTGGAAGTTTTTTTAATAAGTTTTGGTCAGAATCTTGTGAAAAAAATCCCCCTTTACGATGAATTAATTTTTGTTCTGTTGAGGATTTGCTCTTGTTGCAAATAAGTAAATTTGTGTAAATATATCACGTGTCTAATCTCACAATGGATTAACCCACCCTTGGATTTTGTAAAGAAAAATTATTTCTCTAAACTCTGTTTTTTTCCTGCTAACAAATTGTGTGTGTTTTTTGTACAAACGAGAGTGATGACACGTTGTTGCGGTTGTTGTTTCTCCTTCTCAGACCCGCCCGAGAACGTGAGCGTGTCGGTGCCCGTTTTGAGCGTCGTCGAAGGGCACATTCCTGAGAAGATCTTGTGCAACGCCAAAGCGTACCCGGAGCCCTCGTATCAGTGGCACCGAGAGAACGACACCGAAATTAGCATGAAAGGCAACGCGCTGATTCTCAACTATCCCATTCCGAGATCCAAAGGCGGCAATTACGTGTGCGAAGCCTTCAATCGTCACGGCAATATCACGCACAAAACCTTCATCAACGTCCTACGTACGAATCTTTACAACTCTCTTTCATTAACTCAATATTTCTCTTTCTTTTCTTTTGTATTTAGTATTGAATCAAATCTGTTTCTTCCTGTACAAATAAATTTTGTTCAAATTGCACAAACATGTCGTACACGATTTTAATATACTTGTAATTATTTGAAGGGAGATGCTTTCTTGTGAAAAAAATATTTATTCCTTTAAAATAACCACAGAATATTAAAATTGTAAATAATTCTTTTCATCCCAGACCAATTTTATTTAAGTCCTGGAGTTAGAATTGCATTAATTTTTCTGTGATTTCCCAAAGTTTACCCCCTGCCCAGGTAAAAAAGGTACGTTTTTTTTTATTTTTTTTTTTTTTTTGTAATTTTTCTATTTCTTGTACAAACATGGGACCAATGTTAATTGATAGGAAATTTAATAAGCTTTCAAAACCTTATTGAATCAGACAATTTTTGGCGCCAAAAATTTCCATTTTTTGAACAAAGGTAAATTGTTTAATTGGTTTTTAGCTCTTTTTTGCATTGTAACATTTGACGCTTTAAAGTTATAAGAAAATGTTATGTACAGAAAGTGTGCTAAATTAAATATTTTACAAGTTTTGTTTGCAACCTTTCACTCTAAAATGTTTTCCAAAAGAGCCAGAGATGAAAATACCCATTAAAAAGTGACAAAAATTGTCTGATTCAAGGCAACTTGGCGAGGTTTTTGAAGCTTATTAAATTTCCTATTGATTAATGTAAGTCTCATGTCTGTAAAAAAGAAATTGAAATATTAACAAAAAAAGTTTCAAAGGTACTTTTTTACCTACAAAAAGGGTAGCGGCAGGAAATAAATCTCCCTTCAATATGTCTTTTGTACAAGTTTTCATATCTGTCTTTTTGAAACTCCACCCACGCACAGAATAATGTTGTCGGCCCTTTCACTCGAGCTTGGCCGCAATTCGGCCGCACACGATATTAATTTTGCGTGTTGATTCAATATGGGCAGGCCCGGCGCGTGCATAATAACAAGAAGTAATACATATTTATACACATGATCCCGGCTGGGAAGCAAAGGTCGGCGCGGGCCCAACACAAACTAATGCGATTTGACTTGCAAATCATTATTGACGGCCGAAATCATCCAGTGGCGGGCGCGGCTCATTTGAATAATGCATGTGTTCCAAAATAAATCCATCAAATTTATCAACTCCGCCCGTTTTCGCCAAAGACGGCGCAATTTTTTTTTTACATTTTACTGCGAAACTTGTACCGCAATTTCGCTCTCCTCGCCGGCCACGTTCATTATCATAATCACAGCAGCAGCTCCTTCTTGTAATGTAAATTTATACACCTTCCCTGCAGTATTTTTTTCCGCTTCTCCTTCTTTGCCGCAATAAGACTTACTTCTGTGCTTTAGTGCTTTTATCATTTTTAATTTTTTCTCGAGCTTCTTCTTTTGTCTTGATCCGGCTTTTCCTGTTGTAAAATGCATGAACTCACTCTTTTACATTCTGCGGCATGCATTTTAATGATTCCGTCGCGCCCGAGCCGTGCAATTATTTTAATTGCATCTCAAGCACTATTTTAACTCTCACACATACCCGAGTTTATTTCCGCGACGTGCTCCAACTTTAATTATTGCACTCAGAAGCAAGCGCCTAATCTAAACCAAAACATTAAAAAAATTGCGATTCTTACAAATTTTACTCTATTCTGAAAATTAACCAAAAACAACATTGATTTTGAATGAAGTTTAAAATTGGAAATTTTACCATCAAATGAATGAACTTGATTAACTTTTAATAATTGCCCAGGTCAATTTGAAGTATGTCCTGGAACAAATTCGTTCCAGGTCAGACCCATTTTTGATCTATTTTGACTATTTAATTCAATTTGTGTTTGATGGCGATTTATTTAACTTCTAATTTTATTTGTGGAGCAAAAGCAAACCAAAAGTGACCGATTTGAATCTATTTCCTTTGGTTTCGATTAGGCGCGTTTGCATAATATTTCCTTGTTTTTGCGTATTTGAAAGTGTAATTTTTGACGCGCAGACAAGCCCGAGTGCGCCATCACGCAGCGCGAGGTGCACGGCAAGTTGGTGCTGATCTGCAACGCGTCGGCCAACCCGACCGAGGTGGACTTCACGTGGAAGATCAAGAACGAGAACGAGACGATCGAGGAGAACATCGAGACCAACGGCCTCACCAGCATGCTCACGCTCGAGTCGCGCGTCGAGAACTTCCGCACGTACCTCTGCTTCGCCAACAACTCGGTCGGCATGTCCATCCCCTGCGAGCGAGACATCACTGGTGAGCCCAACAAAATCCATCATTAATAAATAACACGCGAAATAACACCCACAACACCAAAGGCCAGGCTGGAAAAAATTATGCAAAATTTGAAAATTTAATATATTAATTTAATGGATTATTTCCTTTTCAATGATAAAAACAAATATTCCTGCAATATAAGAAAATTTCCAGTCCTGCCTTCAAACACTAAACATCTCAAGTGTGTGCATTTATTAAACTCAATAAAAACGTATGACATAACCAATTCTAGCATACCAGGAAAGAAGTAGTAAGTCCAAAAACCTCGATTCGCATGAACCGTTCTTTGATCTTGCACGAAAATACAATTATCTCTCTTTTTGAAATTAGTGTAAATATTTAAAAATCCCGGCAAAACGAATGATTGTACAGACACTTTTTCCAGCTGTATTTGAATTTTAAAAATTCCGTCGCATGATGAAATTCTGAATTAAAAATAGCTGCGCGTCTGTTAAAACGAACGTGACCTTTGCAGACCCTGGCTGGTGGGCGTCGCTGGACAACGACCACAAACTAATTTTCGCGTCCATTATCACGGGCGCCCTCCTAATGGTGATCGTCATTTTCATCATCCTCTGCATCGTCTGCCGACGTAAGAGGGTCGAAGACAAGTGTAAGTTTCCAAATTTTCATTTCTTCCATCTCGAATCATCAGTTTATTTCATTGTCAAATTTATTTTGCTCTCAAATATTAAGCATGGAACAAAATCGGTCACTGGAAAACCAAGCAAAATTAAAACAAATTTATTTTTACATACATGTGCGGTGCTCTCTCTGTTATTTTCCTGTTTGTCTAAAAAATTACATATATGTCTAAATTGAAAAAAAAAATTCCTTCCAAACCTTTTCAAATCTCTGCTTCGCTTGGTTTTGTGATTTTTATGCAAAATTTAAACGCTTAAAAATGCACGAGTTTTGAATTAATTAATAATTAACTGTTTGCCGCGTTTGATACTAACAGTTTTCTGTTTTTGTTGTGTTTTTTAGACAATAACTCCGTGGAGTTGGAGGAGAGAGAAAAGTAAGTTTCTAATTATACTCAAAACAACCAACAAACTATACACTTTCTTTAAGGGTTTTTTCTACACTTATGATTTTGAAACTCGAGCTTTTCACTTGCGTTTTAAATCTCATTGATTTATTTGATACCAAGATGCTTCCGATTTGAGTTTTCATTATTTATTATGGCCAATTGTTGTGACGCTTTTTCATTTAGTTTTTAATTCTCACAAAGTTATTTTATCAGCCGTGGGATTCGTTTCTTCCTGTTTTCCGAAACTTCTCTCTCTCGCTATTTCTTATACTTTCAACATTTACTTGCACAATCTTTCATTTAAAACAAATAAAAAAATACTTGTATTTTTAAATTTCGAAAACTAAAATATAGATTTGGGCGCCGTTTTCAAAATCAGTCGGCGGCAATGATGTTGTTGGTCGAGTCAGTGCAAGAAAAGGGATCCCACACAACAGCAGAGTAGCGCGCAACACTTTTCCTTTTCCTATTCTGTATTGAATAGGGTCCGCTTTAGTTCGTAAATAATCCAGAGTGGTTGAACTCTCAGAGCGCTAATTAGCATGCTTCTTAATTGAAACTAAATCCATTAGAGTGAGAGCCAAATTGTTGTGCATTTTGTTTGACTTAATTGATTCGCCAAAACTAAACTCTCTGCCATTTCTATCGCAGCGATCATACCGATCTTTACAGCAAATACGAGAGATTCATTATTAATCTCTACGGCCCCCAAATAATGTAAGTACACTTTTGACGTTCCTATCCATGTGGCCAGAAGGCGTACAACCACCCCTCAACCCCCGCATATACTAATCTTCCCTTTAAAACTTAAAAACAAATCGCACTGACATTTTTGCCGAAACGCACCAGATTTTGATACAACGAAGCCTTTGAATCTCGCACAATTTGCATATTTACCACCCTGTTCAGCAGATATGTTGGCATGTCAGGTGTCCTATCCATTTTGTTGAAATGCATAATTTTTTTGATTGGATTTGTCAAGGAACCCTTAATTTCAATTAGAAATTCCTTTGGGGTGAGATTGAAAAAGAGTTGTGTGCATTCTCTGCCACTTTTCAACTATTGTGGGGATCCTAGCTCTTTGTTGATGATGATTCTGACGCTGGACAACATTGCATTGCAGTTACGCTACTGATTGGCCCCAATCGCTATTACGATGTTGATCTTAAAAGTGTCAGTTGAGGCTCGCTGCAGCTGGCTGGCTCTCAAATTCCAAGTAAAATTTCTCTCTCTCTTGACTCGAAAAACGTGTGACTTTGCGCAACCAACTTGACCGCATTGCTTTTTACTGTCCAAGATTCCTCCTCCTCCCCTCACACTGCAGTTCAGGGGGACGCGGTGGCGTTGCCTTGACCAGCCATCAAGTGTTATCTGCAACCGCAGCCTCTTCCGTTTTACATGCCACACCTCTTGCAGACACAAACTATGTCCAAGGTAATGCTCTCCTCCTGCTGCTGCCACTTCTTCTCTTTCGCTCGCTGTCTCCAATTTTGTATTCTTTAGTATTTGAGAGGCTGACACTGATTGGCTTTTCCAGGGGGGGCACAACTAATTACTACAAGAGTGGTCTCTTTCTCACACACACACACACACACACCCTTTCCCATGGTTCTTGCACTGTAGATAAGAAGAAACCGAAATTCCCTGCAGATCGGTGGAAAATAGATCAACAATAAAATTAAAATTCCTCAATTTCAGATAATTTTTTTGGCCAAAAATGCTGAAGTGAATTCCTATCCTAGTGATTCATATTATGAAAATAATTTCTTTTCGCCCCATCGAAAAAATATTAGTTTAATTTGAAAAGTCAAAAGTCTAAGAGTTTAAGAAGGCGTGGATTTGAACCCATTTTTTACCTTCGGATCTTACTCTAGCGAAAAGTAAATTATTTAAATACTTGAAAAACATTTTAATTAACATTAGTTTAACTCTGATTATCTGAATAACTTGCAATCCGTTGTGTCATTTAAAGTTTAAAGTTTTGGCTAAACCTCGGTGAAAGAATAAATTTAAAACGTTATGCAACCCGCTCGGCCGACAAGTGGAGCGGGTTGCATAGTCTCTATTTACGCGCCCGTTTGACCCTTTGTCGCGGATGGTGTAACAGAACGGAAGACGCGCGATTAATTAGCGGAAGGTAAATAGCCGGGCGGCAAAATAATAGCTCGTTGCGATGCCCCCAGAGATCTATATTCCACCGACCAGCCCGCTGCGTTTTCCCGTAACCGACAATGCGCTGTGGTCCAGTAAATGTCGCATGCCACACTAATGAATGTCACACACCCAACACTCCGTCAGGTGAAACGCGTCCAGGTAAACCGGCCGGAATGTCTCGCACTTTGGCATCTCTCTTTCTTTAAATCTTTAAATAAATAATGAAAACGCACTTTTGTTAAATGTTTAATATAATTTTTGTGTGCATTTGGAATGCATCTTGGCGCTGTTGTGTTATTGTTGTGTTGTTGCATGTTGATGTGTTTGTTTGGCCGCAGTCCCGAAGGAGACACAAATCTAGAGTCGCGGCAGACGCCGGCGGCGGCCGGCGAGCAGCAGCAGGCCAGCTCGGCGCCGGCCGCCATCCACCGCTGGCCCCTGCGGCCCGGCGTCCACGTGCATGTGAATGGCGCCCGAAACCTAATGGTGGCCACGCCCACCTCGAGCACGGCCTCGTCGACCACCAATTTCATTAGGGCCTCCTCTCAGTACAGCGCCTCGGGCATTGTTGGCTCGCGAAAGAGGAGCGTGCACGCGCGGGAGCACGCCAAGGCCACGCACACCGTCCACCCCGCCATCAATAATAACAACCCCGAGTCGCACCCTGGAGGTAAAATTTGCCAACCACTCCCCAAATCCGCCGGCTAAATCAGTGACAGAAGAAGCACTCGCACTTTTAAATAACGCTAATTAAAAAATAAATACCCACCCCGATTTAAATATAAAAATTATATTCCTTCATATTTCGTTGCTTTTGACTGTTGAGATCGTTTTGAGAGCTTCGCACACAAGATTCCTCCTCATTTTGCATGCAAAATTTGATATGCTTTTTTATTATTTTGAATTATTTCTCCTTATAGCGCATGCTATTTGTTGTTACATGTTATAGTGGTGACATTGAAGAAATTAGATGGAAGTACGGTTCAGGTGCAACCCACCAGAAAGCGCAAAAAGCCGGGGCAAGGTATATCATAATTCAATTACAAACACACTTAATTCGATGATCAGTCCAGGGAGAATTATGGGAAAGTGGAAAATTTAAAACTCTCTCTCATCTAAACAAATCGCATCTAAATTCAAAAATCACGTCAGATCAACTTTGAGGCAAAAAATATTATTGTTTAATCTCAAAGATGGTCTTAAATTTATAAAAGCCAGTTCTCATTTTCTAATTTAAAATATATCGTTCAGCTTCTTTATGTTTTAATTTGTAACGTTGCTTTTGTAGTTATGTGACTCTGTTTCCATCTATACAATTACTAATCGACGAGAACAAACCATCACTAAAGTAGAAGTAGCTAAAATTTTATATTAAATTTGGTGAGAAAAAAAACATTAGAATTTTTCCAAAAGCAGCAGCTACTTTGGTGAATCTGGTTGGCCACGAGCGAATGGAATTAATTCTAATGCCGATTCAAATTTGAATTTCAGGCCCAAATCAGTTCGATATCCGAGATAGACTGAGCCAAGAACCGTCTGTTGATGGCGACCGCCAGTTCTACGAGAATCTTCCTTTCCATGGTATTCAATCACCACCGAATAAGGTAGGAAGAAAATTAGTAAGCAAAGTCTGCACTGTGTCACTCACACCATTGTTGTCCAGAAAGCAAGTTGTTTTATTATTTGATTTGCTTGCTAATTACGCAATAAACGCTTTTTTATAATTAAAAAAAGTTAAATATATTATTTTTTTAATTAACTTATTATTTTGTATTTTGCCTGACGCATGCTTTTTGTTTCTGTTTGTTACTCACAGCCGCGTGCATTGAGTGTAGAAGCGACCGAGGGGGCGGCGGCCACCGCCCCCGGTAGCACGCCCGCCTCCCCCGCCCCCAGTAGGCCAGAGAGTCCCCTGAGCCGGCAAAACTCGTCGGGCTACGGCTCGACGCGGAGCAAGGCCGAGCAGACGTCGCTGAGCTCGTCGCCCGTGAAAAAACTTTCCTCCTCGAATCCAGACCTGAATTCCGAGCCCCCCGCGGAAAACCCACCCCGGGTGGAGGGGCGGCGGAGCCAGAGGGAGGGTGGCGCCGAGTCGCAAACGCTGCCCCGGGTGCAAGGTAGAAAGACTAGCCAGCCGTGCAGTGTGAATATCATCAAACCCCTCGAGATCACTCGCGAGCCTTTTGTAATTAGCCCTCCCGCCAAAGCTGCACCGCCTCACAAGACGATCACGCTCCAGAAAACGGAGAAGATCGTCACCACCGTCAGCATCCAGAACATAACCAACAGCAATTACAAAAAGCCACCGGCCCCCATTCCGCCTCCGGGCCGACCACTGCTGCCCCCGTGCACCCTGCCGCTGCCCAAGCGGGCCACCAGCACGCCCAAGTGCCCCGTCCACCCCAACGGCCCCGTCTCCTCCCCCATTTCATCCTCCTCGTCGTCGTTCGCGAGTTCCTCGGACTCGTCGGCGACCTCCACCTCCACCGTGCGCCAGTTCCACTCCCTCCAGAGACCCAAGTCCAAAGAGGGCGCTTTCTACTCCCTGCGCAGGAGCAACTCGAGCGAGACCAGACCGCTGACCCAGCGGGACTGCGTCAAGCTCGCCTGCAAGTCCACCCCCGACATCGCCAGGGAGGCCAAGGCCCCCATCCCCACGCCGCGATCGCTCAAAGCCTCCTTCTCCTTCTCCAACCCCTCCTCGCCTATCGCAAGGGTGTTTAGCAAGCCGCTTTACCAAAACGTGCCTGTCAGAATTTCCCCTAACCACAAGCAGGCGCGGAAGGACGAGCCACTAACCCAACACATGGAACAGGTGAGAGCAGCAACCCCTCCTTCGGTTGTCTCGCTGTGCCCAAAACCTGTCGCTTCTTGGACGCTTTTCCTCTGAAAAACTATTAATAATAAAATAAAATCTCTAAAAGCTAGTCCACTAAATTGTACATATTGATCCAGAAATATGTGTAAATCAAAATCTATTGTACAAAGTTTCTTTTATATACACGGAAGCGGGGCAGAGGCATTTATGTCGCAACACTCCTTGTACATGCTCCACGTGAGTTTCTATTTCATCAAAACACAACTGCTTGATTTTTGTACATAAATGTTATTTATTTTCAAAGCAATTTTATTTTGCCTGCTTTTATCATTTATCAAACTATTTGCTCAATTTCACAAAAAGCTCAAATTCCATTAGAAAATCTCAAATTCCCGCTTTTATTAGACTTGAACTTACTGATTACTAACAGCATGGCCCTCCGTCCCGACCCTGTTCCTCCTCCGGCCCACACGTGGTGTTGCAGAACCAAAGATCAAAGAGTACGAAAAACCGAAAGTCGATGCAGTTCAGCCGACACCCGTCGACGAGTAGCAGCTCGAGTTCGAGCAGCCTCAGCTCGAGCTCGGCCTTCCCCAACAACGTCCGCAACAACCGGACCTACATCCCGAACCACATCCACGTGCCGTCGGCGCCACTGAGCGGCGAGCACTACTACAGTGGCTCCGTCACCGGCCCGCAGCCGAACCACTACTACCCGCCGGAGCGCAACGGCGTCCACCACTCGCGCACCATGCCGAGGCACCCGCCCTCGTACAACAACCGCTTCCACTACCCGTCGCCCATCCAGCCCAACGGGGTCATCTACGACCCCTACTCGCGCATCAGCCAGTCGTCGCAGTTCCTGCCCCAGATCCACCAGCAGAACAACCTGCACGAGCACCACTCGCCGGTGCTCAGGGCGGACAACGCGGCCGACAACCCGCCGGTGCTCAAGTTTCACGGCTCAGTAGGCAAAGAGATTGACGTGTAAAGGTAAAGCAACTGCGGCCTCTCCAATGTCTTGTCTTTGAGGAGCTCAAATCTAAAACGGGGAGTTTCAATTGTCACGATTCCAAAGTTACGGGGAAATCATTTGAAGATTTAGGGTTAGACGCCATTTTATCAAAGATGGCGCCCTTTTCGCATTATTTCGCATTATATGATGCAAGTTTATTTTAATTTCTATTTGCCCTCAAAGACAACGAAGGGTCAAATTATTAGTCATTTTGTATTCAAATGAAGGCACGTATTACACATTCTCGGTCAGGAAGCCTCGCACACACATTGCGCCGAAAAAGTTTGCTATCCAAAGCGAAGTTTCTGCGTTTTAGCCCTTTTGCCCCCCTCTTGTATAATTTTGTGTACAATCATAACTGCATGCACCGTTTTCAATTTAATACCACTAATAATTTTTCTTGAGATTTTTCAAATTCGGCGACTCACAAACGAACTTCTTGGCTATAAATTCACCATGGTTCTGAAAGTGCTCAAAAACTTACCATTTTTATTTTATCATATCTTTTGTAAAATCTTTCAAAATTTCCTTTGATTTTGTTTGCTGAACGTAAGGCGGTTCTCGCAGAGGATATTTCAAAAATAATGTCGCTTTACCTTCAGCACCGAAACTACTCCTTGGATCTATATTTAATATGTAGTGGTAGTTCAATGTGCTTATGTTTGGTTTGTCAACAGGAGCTGGTGCCGAAAGCCAGTATAACATACATTTATTAGGAGCCATTCTGCCCGCATACTTGTACGTATCAAGAAAATCGCCACTTTATTCAAATAGACCCCGTTTTTGAGCACTCGCTGAAGCAGCCGAAAATTTGCTTCAAAAGTCCGCCCAGAATTCTTAACAATACAAAACCCAGATAAAAAAAAAATCACGAGGCTGTTGTCAGAATTCTGGGTCGCCTGTAGCCAATGAAATTATATAAATGAAGGAAAAAAATTGACTGTTTGTTTATTTGCAGCCGTACAAGCCTGATGTTGCGGATTTCGACTATGCAGATGTTGAGTATCGCTCCTATGGCCCAATCAACTATAAAGCAGCGTCCATCGTTAACAAGGAAAAGGCTGATACTGCCAAGAGAAGTAACAACAATGTAGTGGGCATGAAGCCCCCAGAAGACGATCTCCCACCCTCCAAGAAGCCGAGTCCTCCTCCGTCTCCATATCTGTAATTCGAGCAAATGAACAAGGAAAAGTTGCAGACGCACAAATTAATCGATTCGGAGAGGCTCTTGTGTGCATTTACGAAGGGGCGGCGCCGCCACTGCTACTCTCTCAATCAACTTTCACGTTTCATACTCGTTGATTGCTTTTTAACTGCTCTAACTTTTGTAAAATGAGAATGACTACGATGAAGCGAAAAAGCATTGACTATTTTTAACCACGGTGGTGCTATTGAAAAAAATTAATCGGAACAAAAGAAAGAAAAAAAAGATGTGTCCCCTTTCACGAACTGCTAACACGCGATTTTTATCTAGTATTTTTACAAGAGAAGCAAGTGCTGACTGCTTTTGTGAAAGAGAGTGATTTTTACTGACACCCCTGCTGCGAAGAAGAAGAAGTTGGCCGACTGATCGAAGGAGAAAGTGTGCTTTGCAAAATAAAAAATACTCACCAGTGACTAACAAAGAAAAGAAAAAAACAAGTGTTCCACCCGACTACTTGTATAGGCTGAATGTTGATTAACAAAATGAAAACCTTAGTCCAGAAAAATAAGGCAGAGACTTTTGTGCTTATTAAACGTAGAATTATATGCGAAAATTGTTGGAAGCCGTTTGTTTTTTTAGACCCGAGGTGCGTAGAATTAAAAGCAGTGCTGACTTCCAAAAATAAAAAATTACATTATAAATATGTATAGCGAGAGGCGATGTATAAAAATAATGTAAACAAAATTTTTTTATACAAACTGAAAAAGAGTTACAATGAGATCAAGTTGTTGCTAGTTGTAAATATAAAATTTGAAAGAATGAGTTTGTCTGAATGAGTTGAAAAAAGTTGAAATGTTGACACGAGCGAGGTTTTTTACAAAATTTACGAAAGCTCAACCATCCGGAAAGATCAAAAATTGGTATTAATAATAAAATAAAATGTGACAAGATATATTCACCGTGTATAGAAATGTGTCTTTGCAGTATTTGTTTAATTTTCTTTGACTTTTCTCCACCCAGCGCATTAACTCTGAGTGTAAAATACATTGTTGCAGTGAAATCAGAAGTGGATGTTTGTTATTTATAGCCATTGTAAGTGTCGAGAAGATCAAAAAATATAAAAATTTATGTTGTTCACAAAAAAGCTGCTTTTCATAAATAATTTTTCGCTTCACACTCTCCATTTCCGACACAAGTTTCATCTTCACACCTCTTGACGATTATTAATTTGTGTCTTTCGAAAAAAGTAAAAGAGCAATGTTAAATCTTTGAATGAATAAGAGAATAAAAATATATAGATGCTCCCAATAATTGCAAAAAAGAATAATAATTATGTGTCAAATTTCATGTGTGATATTAAAAAGTGGAATACATATTAAAGAACTGTTGTGATAAATGTTGCGTTTCATTCCTCAAATAAATTTAGATTAAGGAAACAAATTGATCGGAATTTATTCAGTTTATTGGTTTGGCGTGTGTTTTGGCGACGAGTTTTACATAACAATCGAGTGTTTGGAACACAACACGCTTTGCATATAATTGTACAAAAATATACACCCTTTTTATCTGGTGCGTGGAAAAGTTGTCTACTTTTTGTTGGCCGGGTCTGACGGTCTGCGCGGGTTGACCGGTTTGGCCACGTCGTCGGCAGCCCGCGCCATCAATCGCCGGTTCTTTCCTGCGACGAAATTGAATTGAATTTTTTTTTATACAAATTTCCAAACATCGGAATCCACTCACTTGCTAATTTCAGCATGATCGTGCCCCACCAGATGCTCCAACCCCAGCCAACGAGGCAAAAGAGGACCGTGAAAAGTTGGCCCACGCCCACCATCAGGTCGAGGAAAAAGGTTCCGATCCGCTCTTCGGGCCGGTCCTCCACCGAAAACCGCGGCCGGCCGATGCACAGACAAAACGCTCCGCTCAAAATCGTCCCTGCAAATTTAATTTTTTAAATTTTTCAACGGAAACAAGTAAAAGTTTCTCAATTTGTTTACCTAGACCTGGAATGAAAATGTTCAAAATTAGGCAAATCCAAGCTAGTTTTACTGGAAGTACTGGAATCGCTGACTGGATCAAGGAATTTGCCTCCAACAGGGACACGTCCAGTTTGCGAACAATCGGCTGAAATAATTTAAAAAAAAAAAAAAAAAAAATTTAATCATTTAAAATGAATAAGAAACTTCACCATTTCTAAAATATAGTAGTAATTTCAATTCTAAAAGTCAATTCACTTTTTTATTTAATTTAACAAATATTGTAGATTTAAATTAGTATAGTTTTATTGATCAAGAATTGGCATGAAAAATAGGTTCAGAGTGAGTTTAAAGTATGTAGATGGAGTATTTTTGTCTTATTTGTGCCTAAATTGGTAAAAATCAACGTTTTGCAACCTTGGCTTTTTTATAAGTAATACTTTCTTGGTAGCTTTTGTTTTATAAAATTTCAAGAAATCAATAAATCAAGTTTAATATAATTTAGGCATTTGATAATCTGAATAATTTTGAACGCAATTGTTGCATTTGAAGTTTTGATCAAGTTTGGAAAATCACCTTTGGCTTTGCAAAAATTGAAATTTACCTCGTTGTTGATGGTGGACCTGCTCTTGCGTTTGCTCTGCAGCGAGGGTCGCTTGCTGTCGAGGGGGTTGGGGGTGGCGTCGCCGACGGCGCCGCGCTTGCAGCACTTTGTGCAGCAGGCGCACGAGGCGAAACACGGACAGCAGCAGGCGCACGAGACCTTGGCGCAGCAGCCTCGGCAGGACAACTGGGCGCAGCAGCCACGCATCGCCGCGCACTTGAAGACGCTTTTCAGCCTATCAATGGATTGAGCCGAATTAGAGTTAAAATTCAAGTTAATTCAAAGTCGGTTGCATCAGTCTTTTATGTGTGTGTGAGATTCAAACTTTTCTTTCTATTTAAAGTATTGATGAAACCACCTGTTTACAAATCCTTTATTTTCAATAAAATGAATAAACTAAAATATGATTGTGATCAAAAATAACTGAATATAAACTGCAAAATTATGAACTATCATATTTTTTGTTGTTGCAGAAATCAATGGATTAAAAGTGCTCAAAAATTAACTAGATTTTCTCGGAAACTTTCGGTGAAACTTTTGTCGATAATTTTACTCAGGTCAGGCGGTTTCATCGTCTTTAGCACGAGGACGTATTTTTAAAGTATTTGAGCTTATTTAGAGTGTGTTTGTTAGCGTGGTTGCGTGAGAATGAATCGTTACCGCAAAAATTACATTTTTGTCTTAAATTTTAATCAGGGTAATATTCAATTTCTTCTAATATAAGATCATGGAGTCCAAAAATCAAGCTGAAAACGTTGGCAAAGCACATCAATGAATGCGATGAACACTTTTTTTTATGGGAATACCTTTGGCCCATGGTGCGTTTGGGGGCGACGCTGTTTTTGGCGGCGGCGGCGACGACCGGCGCCTCGGACGACGCCGAGCCGTGGCGCTTGCGGCGGCGCCAGCACTTGAGCCGGTCGACGAGGCGCGGCTTTTGCTCGGCCGTCTCCTCCGTGCCCTGCATCTCCACGTCCAAGTCGTGCTTGCGCGTTTTCGCCCACTGCTCCTCCTTGTCCTTGTCCTTGGCCGGCGGCAGCGGCCGGATGCACGGCCCGCAGCACGGCCACCGCCGGCCCGCCAGCCGCTGCGCCCACGCGCCCCGGAAGCAGCAGCACGTCGTCGCGGCCACGCTGCTGCTCATGCTCTCGTCCATCTCGCTGAAAATGGTCCGAAAAATTTGACAAAATTCAAAATTTATCAAATTGACAAACAATTTCTTCAGTACTAATTCTAGGAATGTGGGAAATTAGGTGATCATATTTGTTGAAATTGATTTGAAATTTACTGATTTAGACAAAACTTTTCAGAAGTAAAAATTGACACTTAATAAATAACCAATTTCACGAAAAAAATATCATATTTCACCAATTTTCAACCTGTTTGATGAATTACAAAAGTTTATTTTTACCTTCAGCTACTTATTTTAAGATCTTTTTTCCCTTTTCTTTTAACCAATTCCTCCTATAATCGCGTTAATTGCGATTTTTCATCAAATTTGAACCAAATTCAGTAGGATTTACTGCATTTCCAATTTACATTGGAGAATTGAAATTAGCACTTAATTTCGATTTCTCAGATAAACAAAAACGAGCTGGTAATATAATTTAATTACAATAAACTTCTTCTCGGGAATAATCAAAATTATAAATAATTTTCAATTGAAATTTATATTTTAAAATTGTTACAGAAATTGCCCAAGATTGTATTGATACTAGCAAAAGGTAAAAAAGTTAAAGCAAAAAAATCTGCAACAGTCACAAGGTTGCTAAAAATAGAAAAATGTGGTCTTTTCAAAAGGCACTGATTTTAAAAAATTATTAAGAACATCTTCATCTATTTTGGATTATATTAATAAATCTTGATGTGCTTGATCAAAAGAATAATAATTTCACTTCAACAAAAAAGGACGAAAAATTTGCCTATAGCTGATCCTTAGCTGCAAATTTATGGTTAAAATTGTTAAATACAGACACGAGGGAAAATGAAGAATTAAAATAAAAAATTAAAAACTTTACTATTTCAAAGAACATTTGAAGAATAGTTGAAATTTTTGTTCAGGCACAATATCCATAAGAGAAAACTTTGTTCATTATTAGAAAATTGGTGGAAAAAGTTGCTGTCAAATTTAATTTTCTCCACCAATGAAATAAATTCCAGTAAAGAAAACACATCTGTCTGATTTGATGCAAAAAATCTTCATGCAGAATAATTTGAGTGCGAAAAGGACAAAAGTTGAATTTTGCCTTACGTGATGGTGGCAAGCATATAGGAAGGTGCGAATTTTGTGTGTGTGAAAAATGGTCCGAACCGTGGAGCAGCAGCGAGAAGGGTTTGCGACCGGCGCGGGTGGTCGGTCGGCGCGAATAAGCGCAGTTGGACGGGGGGTTGGGGGTATCGCGCGCCTCGTATCTCAGTGGGTCAAACGCGGTTGTTAAGGCGGTCACTCTGGCACCAGGAAATAAATAAAGGCGCTTCAAGCATGTGTGTGTGTGTCCACGTATGCAAAGCAGCCAACAACGATCACGGCAACCTTTTCCACCGCAAACAAAGCTCACAAATTTCCTTCAATTAGAATTTCAACAATCACGCGAATAAAAAAATAAAAATACCATCGAAATTATGCAACCCGCTAATCAAATGTGACGTGAAGTTTGCCTAAATCGCCACTCGGCAGGCGCCTGACGTAAAAAAAGAACGAGATTTATTGTTCATTTATAAAGTTCTTGTCAACATTTTGACCTTTGATTCCGACACGAAAATGAATCCATTGTTTTATTTAAGGAAAAGGATTCAAATTTGCTTTCTTTGTGCTTTCCAAAGTAAACAATACATGTTTTTTTTTATTACCTTGACAAGATTTTGTTAACATTCCATATATAAGGAAAAAAATCAATTATATGTATATTATTAAATATAGAGTCCATGATTCTCTATGTATTATTATTATTATTATAATTATTATTATAATTATTATTTTTATCATTTATTATTATTTGTAAATTAAATACTTAATTTACAATAAATCATTATTTATTATTAATAAATAATGAAAATATTAATTTACAAAAATTAATTAAAATTTTTATGAACAAATTGTTTTTTAACATTACTAAATAAAATCTTTATCAACTATTTAATGTAATAATTGTAAAGCATGTTTTTCAAGCAGGAATGAAATTGAATCATGCTGACTTTGAATAGAATCGGAGATAAATTGATAATGCGATTGATGAATGAACTCATGTGATTGCAATCGTTTCCCGATTTGTTCAGCGCGTCAATTCGGGCGATATCGCGACGCCGATTGAAGTTGTTTTCGGTCTCGGCACGCGATGGCAATTTGCCAACAGCAATTACAAACGCGATAACATCTCTGCCTAATTTGTGGTTATTATTGATTCTCGGGTGTCGCGTTTTCCCCCTCTTAATTACAGGTTTCGACCTTTGAATTTCGGGCAGCAAAATGTGGTTCAAATTCGTGTCACGGCCAAGAAAGGGGTTTTGAAGAAAAATCGAAATCAAAAGTGAGCTTCGCACATGCGACTGAAGAGAATTATTGAGGAAACGCAGGTGCTTTTGTGGTCGGTGCTGCCCCGCGTCGAAAAACTCAAGAACTCGCAACAACTTCAGCTTGGATTTTAACACAAAGTTGAATTTATCAATGAAAATCTCAATCAAAGAATTTTTTTTGTAAAAGTTTTAAATTTCAAATATACTGCGTAAAATTTGAATTTTTTTAAATTATTTTTTATTATCCTACTTTTGAAACAGGAAATGCAAATTTGAAAAACTAACCTGCCGCTGATGGAGTCCAAGCGCGCGACCAACTCCTCGCCGAGCGTCTCGTTTCCGCGCGACCCGAACATTTTTTTGGACACTCGTGAGCCGAGCGTGACCTGCGAACCCTTGACCGAGCCGCGCTTGCTGCTGCCGCGACTGTCCACCTCGTTGACCACCTCCATCTCGGCGGGGGCGGCCGGGTTGGCCGCCCCCGCCTCCTCCTCCTCTGGCTCGGGGTTGCGCCGGTACCTTTTTCCGAACACGGCGATTTTTCCAGCCTTGGCGCTCACTTTTTTCAAGCTGAGCGGCGTCCGCGGCGTCTTCGGCGTCGACGGAATGCTCGAGTCGGGCGTCGGCATTTGCGAGTTGAGCGACGCCTGCGAGTTCCTCCGACTCCCCAGACGAACAAACTGGAAAGCCACGAATTCTGTTAATTTTTTTAGTTCAAAGGGCCTGAAAACCTTCAAAAAATCACGATCATTGTTTTATTTCTTTCTGTAAAAATTAAAACAATTTTTTAGATATGATTTTTTTTCTTAACAAAAACCGACTGAGTTATTGTTTCTGTTTTACCTGAAGAGGACAAATTTTTTCCACAATATTTCTAAAATCATTTGAGTCTTTACTCGAACATAATTTTTAATCTTTTTGAAGGTCTTCAAACCTTCGGAAGATCAATTTTTAAATGGAAAATTTACATTTCTGACGGTTCTGGCGGCCGAATTGAGCCTGGAAACCCTTGTGGAGGGAGGAGTGGCGGCGATGGAGGCCACGGAGGACGAACGCGAGTCTTTGGTCATCATGTTGATGATGGCGCTGGAAGAGTCGCGCGTCGGCAACTTCCACATGCTGCCCTTTTTCGAGCCGGGGGCGCTTTCCGACTCGCTCTCATCACCGTCCTTTTGCTAGTAAAATTCAAATAAAATTTTAATTTCGATTCAAAATTGAAGTGATTTAATTTATTTAAATTATAAATTGTCTTCATTATTATTAAATTTATATTTTATTTTAAAAATATATTAATTAATTTGATTTGCGATTCTAATTCAAAATTGAATTGATTCTCTTAATTTTGAATTCTAAAAAATGAGTTAATTTATTTAATTACATTAAGAATTTCACTGATTTTCATTTTAATTCTGATGAAAAAAAATTTTTTGGAAAATTAAATTGATTAATTTAATTTTATTAAGAAATGAACTGATTTGCTTCATTTTAAATTAAAAAATTAATTTGATTCTTAGTTCTGATTAAAAATTGAATTGATTTTCTCAGTAACGCGGATTTTCTTGCTTTCAGTAATAAAAATGTAAATTGCGATTATGTTTAGTTTTGATTAAAAATTTTAGTACCGATTTGTTGAGGGAAGTGCTGGACTGGGCCCTGGGCGACCTGACGAGCGACTTGGCGGCCGACATGGCTCGCATGGCCGCGTTTGCCGACAACCGGCCGTGCTTCTTCGAGGTGGACGGACTGCTGGCGCCCTCCGAGTCGGACTTGTCTGAACGATCGCCCCTGCTTTTGGTGCTCACCAGAGAACTGAGCGAGCCCAGGATGCCGGACGCGGACCGCAGTTTGCCCAGCGAACTTTGACTTCCGCTTTTACTCTGAAAACATCAAGTTTTATTTTAATTCAATCAAAAACCCTATAAAGTCTACTTTTATTGTTTAATAATTGAAAACCATAACAATTTTCAATTTATTTTCCCACTAATGGAAAAGTCAATTTAGCCAAATAAATTCATAGAAGCGGCCACTGGTGGCGCCACTATTGAAAAACAGCGCCTCCAGTCGCCGTTTGAATGACTTAATTGGACCACAGAACCATTTCACTTGAATTCTGATCAAGAAATTTGAAGTTTCTTTAAATGTTGTGTAATTTCAAAACTGGGGTTTACTAGAGTTCCAGCCTTGTCGCCCAACGACGACTTGGAGGAAGACCTGGACAGGCTTTTCTTGTCGCCAGACTCTCCTTCCTTCTTGTTCTTGAAGCCAAACCTGGCGCCCATCCCTGCGATCCTGCCCAGGGCGCTGAACCGCCTCGACCCGCGTCTTTTTTCGCTGATCAGTTCTGCACAGAAATCGATCAGAACCTTTTTTTACTGAAAAAAAAAAAATCAATTTTTAAACCTGGCAACTCGTCCTTTTCTCCGGCGGCGTGCTCGTCGTGCAGGATGGCGGCCATGTCGGCGCTGGTGACGGACACTTTTTCCTGCTGCATGTTGATGGCCGAGTTGATGGTGCTGAAGATCTTCTTCTGCGGCACGTTGCCCTTGACGTTCTTGATGGCGCTGTTGAAACTCTTGGCCGCGTTTTCGTTGGACGCCTTGGCCATTTTCAGCGACGCCTCGCTCGACGCCGACTTCAGACTCACCTTGCTCGAGCTTTCTTTGCCCGGCGTTTCTCTTCCTTTGCTCGGGGTGCCCACGGACTTGGTCGGCGTCCCTGCCCCCTCCTGAATTTCACCTGCAAAATTATATCACATTAATTTTCAATTCAAAGGAATTTAATCAAGTTATGATACATTTAAAGAGTTTCAAGCAATTTTTTTTTCGAATCGCGAGGCTCTTTTGTGACAATGTATTCAAAGTTTTGTAAATTCTAGACGTTTTTAATTAGTTTATTTAGAAATTAATTTATAAGCAGTTTTTCAGCAGTGAATAGAAATGACTTTTTGTAAACATTTTAGTACCTTAACAAAGACTAGAGTAAATTTAAGCATCATTTATGATTTAATTTAGCAAATTTAACTGAAAATTAAACTTACATTTTTAAATGTTCCTAGACTTATGAGGTTAAATGGAAAAAGTACAATGAATATTTTAAGAAAAAATTATAATAGAATTTTGGTGAATTTTAATTAGGAAATTGTTTCCATTTCTAATTTTTTTCTAAAAATTTTAATTTTGAATGGAAATACCGGTTGCCGCAGCCGCTTTTTCAAAGGCGACCGATTTGGAAAGGTGACTCCTGATGGACGTGGTGCTCGAGTTGGCCGTCGCGATCATTCGCATGGACTTTTTGACGTTCGGCTTGGGGCTGTTGGCGGCGGCGGCCGAGGGGATGCTGGTGGTGCTGCCCTTGGCGCTGCCCTGGCCGCCGGCGAACGCGCCCTTCATGCTGGTCACGCTGCCGATGGCGTTGCGCAGGCTGGTGGTGCTGCCCGCGGTCACCGCGCCCAGGTCGATCGACGACTTGGTCGGCGTCCCTCGCCGCGAGCCGAACTTTTTGGCCGCCGAGGCCGCGGCGCTGGCCGCCTCGATCTGGGCCGCGGCCGCTGCGGCCACGTCCACTTTCTTGTTGGCGGCCGCCGACTTGGCCAGCGCCTTCTCCGCCTCCGTGGCCGCCTTCACCATGTCAGGGCCACCCTCGCCTGCAAAATCACATCAAATTGTGTAAAAAATTCGTAAAAAATGGATCAGCTCCCGATTTCAGAAAATTTTGAAAAATCTTCTAATAATCTTGGCTCTGAAATTCAAATGCTTTTGGTGGGAAAAGTCAAATATTCCTGATTCAACCCTTCAGGGTGCGATTTAGATATTGACCCTTAAAAATTGTCAAATTTCCCCATCCAGGAATAAAAAAATTAAAATAAATAAATAAATTGCACGGGACTTTAATTCTTCAAATCTCCAGCGTTTCATTGACTTTTGTCTGTCCATAATTTGGTTAATAAAAAGTGATTGAATCATGAATCGTGATTGTAAATTGATGAAGCTGATTTACATTTGGAGGGTTGTCTGACCTGGTTTTTTATTTTCCTTTTTGGGGCTCTGGATGCGTTCGGGCAGGTCGATCCGCTGCTCCTTCCACACGACGAAGGAGGCTGAATTCTTGCTGCGCGACCGTGGCCTCGTTTGCGGCGCCTCTGGCCGCAATTTTGTGTGCGGCGGCGGCAGATCTGCAGATAGCGGCGTAAGCACGGAAAATGTTAATTTTCAAGCAATATTAATTTTCTCATTCGAACCTGGGCCGCGCTTCACGATGGGCATGGACGGGTGGTGGAAAACGTACTCGGGGTCCGTCTCCACCAACTTCATCGCCGCCTTCTTCTTGGTCGCCTCTTTGGCGGCGGCCGACTTGGCCGTCGACCTCGCGCAGCACGGCCGACTCGGCGGACTCACTCGGCGCCTCGCGGGCGCCGTCGACAGTCTTATCAGGTTGAAATCGAAACTGGGACTCCTGCCTCGAGACGTCGAACGGGGACGCCTAAAATTAAAAAAAAACTCTAATTTAAATAATAATTATATGCATGGAATAACAATTAATAGAAATGAGTGTTTAAATGCAAAGATAACATTATGAATTGACCTATTTTTTTGTATTTATTTTGATTAATAAAGAGGAAGTTTTAGGAAAATTTCTGATAGAGCCTTGGTCAAATAATTCTTTTCCTTTTCTAATTGTTTTTCCAATAATTGATGCTAATACTTCTTCTGCTTTTTTTCATAGAAATTTTATTTGATAAAAATAAAAGACTTTATTATTACATAACAAAAATAAAATTTAAGACTAATTTAATTAATTAAAAATAACATAATTATTCACTTTATAATAGTTTAAAAAAAAATAATTATGTATGATAAAATATTTACTTTAAATCAGTGTAGAAAAATAAACAACTAATGGCAAATTAATTATCTGTAATTTTATAAAAAGATAGTAAACAAAATTAAACTATAATTTACTACACAAATATGGACGGTAAATTTAAATTCTACAAATCATTTGGTTTTTGTTAAAATCCACCTTATATCAGAAAACTTCTGCTATTTCGGGATATTTTTAAAACTTTTATCAGTTAAAGGAACTCTTTTTACTTATATTAAAGTTTAATTAGGCAAAATAAGCTGTATTGAGTAGTTATATCATAAATTTATTTTAATTTGCAATAAGGTTGCAATAAAATGAATAATTTCCACTATATAATCTCTATTCATTAAAATTTTACTTTTGATTTGTTCCGAATAAACAAGAATAATGTGGTTCAAGAATAACAAATTTGAAATAAAAAAAAATTACAATGAAAATTCAAGTGAATTTTGCAATTTTGTGACACAGATAAGAATCGCACCCTGGCGGACTGGGTCCTCTGGAGGGAGGTCGCATGTATGCGTTGATGCTCTTGATGGGGCTGGCCACCCTGGAGGGCGGGTACTTGGCCTGGACGGGGCTGGGCGTCCTGCAGGGCCGGTCGACGACCCAGTGGGTGCGGGGGCTGGTCTCTGCGAGGTGGACGCCGGGCTGCTTGGGCGGTTTGCCCTTGGCCGGGCTTCTCTTGGGGCTGGAGGTGGCGATGCACAGGGCGTCGTCGCGCGGGCTGAAGATGGTCAGGGTCGCGTCCCGGTCGGGCGTGTTTCCGCGCGACACGATTTCCAGGGTCAGCCCTGGGAAGGACGAGTCGCCGGCCTGGCCCATCGGGATGACGAACTTGATCGGGCTGACCGAGCGGTGGTGTCGCTCGGGCGAGGGCGACGTCGCCCTCTGCAGCCGCGGACTCAGGGTGATGGTGTCCGAAAAGAGGCCGGTCGAGGTCAAAGGTCGCTTGAACGCGTTCCGCTCGGGGCTCATTCCGCAGGTTCTGCACACCGCCGGCTCCGCCGCCATCCGCGTCGTGATTCGCTCCTCGGGGCTGCGGACGGTGTCCGGATCGACGACCACCACCTTCTTCGTCAGCGTCCGGCTCGGGCTGATCATTTCAATTTGCGACAGGGCCGGACTGACCTTCTTCTCCGGACTGCCCCGCTGCGACTTGGGCCGCTCGGAACTTTTGCCCCGCGTGACCGGACGCTCCGGACTGCCGATTTTGGGCTTCTCCTTGTTGGCCGAGCTGAGGGTGGGCCGGTCGTTGAGAGGGACGACGCGGCGCACGGGGCTGCGGCCTCTGGTGGTGCGCGGCCGCGGCACCGGTTTTTCGTCCGAAATCGAGGCCAGCGGCCGCGGAACGACAAAGTCGGACGGACTGCGCGTCCGGGACAGTCTGTAGTCGCCGTCCTTGTTCATCTCGGCCGGGATGTAGTTGCGCAGGGGCCCGATAAAGTTCTCCTGCAAGAAGAATTGGGATAAATAATTATAATTTCACTTGCTTTTTTGAAAAAGAAGATAATGGGGTTTTTTAAACAAAAAGGTTTTACCGGTTTCGAGAGCAAGAAAGAATACATTAAATTAGCAAAATTGAAAAAGCCTAATTTTAGAACAAACAAAAATGTTAAAACTAGCAACATTCAAGAACCTGACCATATTTAAATATTAAGTTATTATAGCGTAAACATTTAATTACTTTTTTTTAACAAATGTTTTTCCCCTCAATTTGCTGTTTTTTTTTTATATATATTTTTCTTGCTTTAGAGAGTGAAAATGGTTTTAGAATTAATACTCTATTTCAAGGAATGACAACTTACATGATCGTTTCCTCAATAATGTTGATTTTTTTTATGTTACTTTACATAATGAAACAATCGATAAAAATTTACTTTTGATCGATCTTAATTGCAAAGCCAAAGTTAAAGAGAGATTTGCCTTAATTATATTATTCTTCCTTTTGAAAAAAAAGCGATCACTATCACTAAGCGCTTAAATAGTCATGTGAGGGGTGCTTAAAATCTGTTAAAATCAGTAAAATATTGACTGTTCATACAAATTTAGTGATTTTGCAAACTGGCCAATATTTCTTTGAGTGTTTTGAGGTTCAAATTCAGCGTTTTCTTTATTTAAAACATATTGTTATTAAAGTTAATTTAAATTTTTGAATAATTTTTTAAATCAAATAATAAATGTTAAAAAAATCAATCACAATGTGCTATTATTAAAAAATAATTTTCTCGTTTTTTGAAAAGAAAAAGGTGAATATCTTGAATGAAACCATAGATTGTAACTTATGTCATTGTTTAAGAAATTTGATACTTTTTAGTTACAAAAGAAGATTAACGGTAAAAATTTGAGAGGGGCTAAAAAAGTGGCTTCAAATGATAAGGAGGATGGTCAATTTTTGTCAATAACTGAAAAACTTTTGTTTTAATTTTAAACAATTGGAGACAAGAAAACGATATTTTTCCTTTTTTGAAAAAAAGAAATATTATTTTTTATTAAAAAACCAGTTTCGATCTCGCACTGCGACTCTATTTCACGAGAAAGAAGAAATAACAAAATCAATTAAAATTTAAAAAAAAAAACTTGTTTTATAACAATAATAAATATAATTTTTCAATTAATTTCTTCACACACAAAAATTGAGTAATGTTTAAATATAAGGAAAATAAGCAGATATAAATACGTTTTTAATAAAATGAATTATTATAACATTTGATTCTAAACTACAACATTCATATAAAAGTGTATTTTGCGACCAAATTGAATGATGTACCTGCGGGTGCCAGATTTGGCGCGGCGAGGGTTTCGGCGACGGCGTGACCGGCCTGAGTCGCTGGCGCATGGCCTGCAGCTCGGAGAGGGCCTCGGCGCTGCGGCTGGCCGTCGTCTGGGGCCGTTGCATCTCGAAGCGCCGCACTTCCGTCGCCATGCCTCGGCTACATGTTGCAGCGAATCTCGCTCTATCCGAACTTGGCGTGTTCACATCGAGAACCGGAGCCGCGGCGCCGATAAGCGCCCGCCGATAAACCGCCCTCCTCGCTGCATGTGTTGCACATTTCCACCCCCGAGTCCGAGCGCCAACTGGTCAGCCGCGCGCGCCCCAACGCCGCTCACCACGCTCCTCAACCCCCTCCCTCCATTCTTCAGCTGACCCCTTTAGCAACATGCTAATCACTGCAGGATGGCCGTCAACTCATCGACCGCCGTTATTAACCCCCGCCCTGATTGCGATTCGCCACCCCTCATCATCTCTTCAAATTCATTTTTCCTCTTTTAATGTTTTTTTTTAATCATTACTTTATTTTAAATAATGAGTTTGATGAATTATCTTGCCAGTAACATCACTTATTAGGTATTCAAAAGAAAATTGATTTAATAACAAACATGCATTAAAGGAAAATCAGAACAATAAAATGTTCTCAATTAATAGAAAATTGTAGTTTTTTTTCCTTTTCTCATTAGACCAATGCAAATTTTTTATTTCAACCGACCTATTGATTTTTTTTCCACCACAATTGGGATTTCATGATCTGCTGAAATTTTTTATCAATATTGGTTGTGTTAATTTTGAGATTATTTTAGTAAATTCCCATGAGAATTAAACGTTGCTAAAATTTAAAAAAAATTCAGTATTCCCAATCTATTCAATTTTTTTATTATGCCTTTTACAAATAAGAGAAAAATACTTTCCAAATTAATCAGACCGTTTTCTTTTTCTTTTGAAACTGCTTTTAGTTTCCAAATTGTTGGAATTCTTAGATTATTATCTGAATTTGTACAATTAAAACCTAATTGCTCAACTTCCTGTAAAAATTCTTGCAAGTTTTTCTGCAACAATTTGCATGTGTAATGAACACACGATTGTAGGCGGGTGTGCACTTTCCACGCACACTCTCAGCTTCTCTCGCATTCATAATATTCAACCTATTAACCCCGTTTCGCGGCTTTTGCATATAATTGCTATTCTCTCTTCAGCTTCTTGTCCGACAAGCTGGCGAACGGGGGTGTCTGATAGCGATCGCCTCTTAATTAAAACGGCAGCCGCACACACACTCATGTGTGCTATTATTTATTTATTTATATTCAAAGCTCGCCGTTAATATGCAGACAGGCATTTTTCCTGCATGTAGCTATGCTGACGAGATCTTATCAGCCGGAAAAAAAGCAGAAAGAAAGAAAAAGCGAGCCACTGTTGCATAAACAATGAAATGCAAAGCGAGCAGTGAAATTGCAATAAACACATGAGCATCATTTCAACTGAAAGAAAAGTGATTTGCTGTGGAAATTGATATTTGATTAAAAAAAGAGCTAATTTAAGAAAATATGGAAGTGTTTACGAAATTGAACTACTTCTTGATCAAATTATTACATTTTTAGATTTGAAAGTCAAAGTATTTTCACGTTTTTCTCTTTTTTGTGTGCAAGTCTCAAGAATACAAAAGCAGATTTTTTTAATTATTATTTTCTGAAGGCTTAAATACACATTTCATCGTTCAAATCGAGTAATCTCTTGTTAATTTGCAAATAAGAATTAATTTCCTAACGAAGCCCTTTGAAAATAAAAGAGAAATTAAATTTAGAGGGATTCCTGGTTTAATTTATTTTTTAATTGTTCCCTTTGACTGAAATAAAATTAACTTCTTGCTCTGTTCGATGCTATTTCCATTGTGGAACATGAGAAAGGAAGAAACTCGGTGTGTGAGTAAGATTTATTAATAAGCGAAGGTCACGAGCGAGCGTCCTACGTCAGGCGTCGGAATAAATTTTTGTGGGGTGCGGGTCAAGTTGATTCCGTGTTTGATTCTTTCAAGTTGCGCGTGCGGTGACGCCAAGTGACGCCAACTCATTACTTGTGTAAATATCTAGCCTGGAAATCTCCAAGGCCGCGAGTCTCTTAATTTGTCCCGCATTCAATCGTTTTTTACTTCTGATTTAAAAAAAAAGAATTGCCAAAAGTGATGGATTTGTAAAAGTGCAACTGCCCCTTACGTGCATGTGAGGAAATTCTCGTGCTGATATATTAGGTATTGTAATGAGGACGGCAGCGAGCAACAGGAGGTTTTGATTTTAATTTCTGATCGGCGCGGGATGAATAAAATCTAGGTTTTGGGGTTAACGCAATCAAACGTGGGTCACCTGGTCACTGTCAATACTTATATGTATAAATTCACCCCAGAAGAGTGAATTTAAAATGGGGTGCACCAATTTGTTACTTAAAATGTGATAAAAATAAAGGTCCGGTAGTTAAAATTAATTAATTTTCAGATCTTTTTGAAAAGATACAGATACATTTCATATCATCTCCAAATAAATTAATTAAGCAACGTTTGAAAAATCAACACCACTTTAAAAAGGAAATTTAATTTTTAATGAAAATTCAATGAAATTATTAAAATTAATTTCAAACAAGAAAATATTAATATTTCAGATGAACCTTCCAATTAGTTTTTAAGCTCAAAGTGGAAAAAGGTCTAAAGCTTTGACCTCTCCAGTGTATTTTATTTAATCTGTCAGAAGTAAGAAATTATGAAACTGAGTTATTATCGTCTGGCGAGTGCGTGAGTCGGACCCTAGCTATTTTTTTGTTCTCCACTTCTCCTCAAGCACGCGCTAAGTTTTGATAATGCCTTGGAAAAGGAGTCAAGGACATTTGTACAAAATTTATGCTGTAAGCGCCTTCCTTTGTTTGTGTTTAATCAATTCAGGAACGCCATTTCTCATCGTCGAACGCTTCCTGTCTGCGGCACACTTTCCAAAAGGAAACAATTGGAAATTATTGGAAGCATTTTTCACATTTCTTATTTATTTTATTGAAGGGAAAAAAACAGCATTTTGGCAGACACGCAGCCTTGTTTGCATTCAACAGAGTGCAGCTGTTTTATCAAAGGTGGGAATCGCCACCGAATACCTTGAAATACTTTGGGAAATTAGTGGAAGGCTGAATTATTTCTTGCTTTTTCGCCCCAAGGTTCCAAAACGAATTCTCACGAAACTGCAGCGGTGTTATTAATAAAATTAGATTTCGCCGACGGACTACTTTGCAGATTGGACCGAGTGATTAATTGCGGCGAATATTTCAAAACGCCCTACCACGCCCTGCAATACAACAAAATCAAACATCCATGCAGCGTAGCAATCAATCCAGCTCATCAATCAGCAGGAATTATAATGCTGAGATAGGCAACGCGCTGCTCCCTAATGCTGAGCGGGCTAAACCAAATCGCTACATTTTATCAGTTAATATAATTAAAATTGGTTTGAATGTATTGAAATTTGTAAAATTGAGGACATTTTTTTAAATAAATTAATTTCATACAAATCGTTAAACAAAATTGAAAGACCAAGAAAAATTAAAGTACATTTTTTTATCAAAATAATATATAGATAATATAAATTATCCAAAAAATGGCTTTTTAAGTAAAACGAAATACAAGTTTCATTTATTTGAGGAAACAAAACTATTTATCAGCTTATAATTTGAAGAAATTGGATTGATACAATTAAAACAAACATTAAATTCTTAAAAAAAATTAACCATCTGCATCAAATTGAATTACGCTTTTTGCAATTTTTCTCGATGAATTTTATTGACGGTGTTTTGGTTTGTCGCGGCGTGATTTGTGTGTCTTGAGCAGGACTGTCTTTCACACTTCGCCATGGCAACTGGAAATAACACGGGGGGTGGCGCGAGCCCTCGAGCAGCTGGCCGGCTCGGTTCACGGTCTTTTGGCTTCGCGTGCCTCCTCCGGCCACCACTTTTATTACATCTGACCAGCAGGTAAGCAACCCCCATCGCCATAATACCGCATTACACAATATATAATCCGGCCACAATGCGGACAATTATGCTTTATCATATCTCAAACTTTCCAATATTAAATATCGGAGAAATTTTAATTTCTTGACATTTAAATTTCTTTTGTTTTACTGCGCGTCAAAATTTGGAATTCTTTACATTTTGTTTTGATAAAAATCTGGAGTTGATTAAATCTGGGTTTGCAGCAGCATGGAGTCGGTGGAGATTAGGAGAACAAAAGTGGTGTTTGGCCTCGAGCGGGCTGCAGTTTCCGGCCGTCCTTTGTGAGAGCGAAATGAGCCTTTTGAAATTCCTGCTCGGCGCCAAGTTCAGCCAGCGCAAGAAATGGCGCAAGAGGAAGGACGAAGAGACGCTCAAGCTGGCCAAAGTCGACCTTTCCGACCCGCAGCAGAAACGGCAGCTCATGAACTGCATTGCCTACAGGTTAATCATGAACTTCTTAAATTTAATTATAATTATTTTATTCTACACTGAATTAAAAAAAAAAACTTTTATCAATATTTTCAAAAAAAAATTTAATCTTTTGATTCTAACAAACAACAATAGTTCAATACTTTATTTTTATTTTGGCGTGGGCAAAAAAACTCCCGCGCAAAGGGCACGCTGATCGTTGTTTGTAAACGCAGCCCCGGGATACGGAGCGACGACGAGGCGCGCTTTGTCGATATCTGGGCGAACGATTCGCTCACCTCCGAGGAATGCTCCACCGAGAACGTCGTCACCGTCGTCGAGGTCCACCCTGAGCACGGTGACGAGACGCAGGACGAACTCGACCCTGAGGAGGGAAACTCGGAGCAAGGTATGAAAATGAAAAACCACTTTTGCAATCTTTCCAGTCTAAAAATTCGCAGAGGCTGAAAAGGAGGAAATTATTTTCTTGCCAGAAAATAGTGAGCAACTTTTGGATACTCAAGAAATTTACCAAGAAACGGACAGTAAATTAATTTTCTAAAAATTTCCTCATTTTTAATTGCTTCATTTTTCCAGAGGACAAAGACTGCTTAGAGAAAATAGAGGAAAGCACTGATACTGATACTAAGCTTAAAGGTATTTCTCTTGAAATAATTAATGAATTTTGCAAAAATTCTCATTTTTCTTGCAGAAGCGCCACCGGAAAGCGCGGCCTCATCTTGTGACTCGGACGACGAAGACCAAATCGTGCCGACGAGCGGCTCTTCCGAGTCAACAGGGTCGACAAGCCTGACGCCCGCCCTGTCCATCGACATGGAGACGCAGACGGACGAGGTGCCGGCCGCCGTGTCGCTGCGGCCAAACCACCGCTACTCGGGCGGCCACGAAATGCGCCTGCTCTCGGTCGCCCTCAGCGAACTCGAGGCCGAGATGGCCGCGGCCAAGCAGCAGCCCAGGGCGTGCAGCTGCTCCGCCGCCAACCCCAAACCAGCACCACCCTCGCCCAACGTCGCCTTCACCCTTGAAAAAGTAGACAATTTTTACTCAGATCGAGTTGGAAAAAATTTATTTTTCTTGTGCATTTTTTTTTTGCAATTTGCATTTTTAGTAAAAATATTTTTTAGGTAATAAATTTCGAGTAAAATTGTTTGTTAAATCATATAATGTTTTTACTAATTACAATTTAGAATCGTCAGATTGCACGGGAAAACGCAAATTTGCTGAGCAGACTGCAAAGGACCCAGTCGAAAATCAAAAGACAGACCGCTCTGCCCTTCCGGCCGACGGAATCCAGTTACGCCATCAACCGAAGGAAACAACAGGAAAAGATTGAAAGAGAAAACTTGGTAATGATGTTCTCTTCATTCAAAAAAGCAATTCAAATTTTAAATCATTCTAACAGATCATCCTGCGGAAAATAACTGATGCGCGTGGCAGGGCCAAGAGAAGGGCCAGCACAGAGAGGAGCACCGCTGTCTTCTCTTCCTACTGCTGAGAACTCAAATCGATCATTTAAATCTTACAATGATGAACTGCAGTCTTAATAAGAAAGCTTTTCTGGCGCCATAGAAATTTTCCGGTGAAAATGGATAAAATTGAATTTTGTGCAAGTTTTCAATTCGGAAAATAAATTCCAATTAACAGCGCAAGTTTCATTTTTAAGCAGGTCGGTTTGATTTTTTACTGTAAATATTGTCTTCATAAAAGTTTATTGGACGTTGGATTAAGTATATATTATTCGTCCAATTAATATTAAGTAGCAGAACTTCAAATTTTAACTTTCATTTCGGTGCACACAAAAATTATGTTTTTTTACAGCACACAAGAAACGCAACGCTCGTAAAATTTGCCAAATAATTTTTTCTTGTTATTGGAATAAGCAGAGGTTAAAATAATTGTGGCTTAAGTTACGTTTCTTCAATTAAAAGAATAAATTCGCAAATCTTGTAAATTTGTTTTGAATCATTGGGAACATTAAGGGATACTTCAGATTATCTTGGTGAGCCGAAGGCTGGGCCACCTGTTCTTCCTGAATGGCAGCCACCTGCGCAGGGGCCAGAGCAGGCTGAATCGGGACCACTGCGTTTGCTGCTTCCCAGAGCGGCTGGTCAGACCAATTCTGGCAATTTGCCGCAGCGTGACGACGTCTGAAACAATTATGATAACCATCAAAGACTAGATAAGATAATTTAAAAAGAAAAAAAAATACTATTTACCGTCAAAAACGCAGAACTCCTCATGCATGCAGTCGAGGAGGACAGCCAGCATCCTTTCCCCCATGTTATCGAGACTGCCAAGGCTGGAGCGAATGTCCGCAGGAAGGTTAGCCATGTCGTCACCCTCGCGGACTGGGGTGCGGTGGATGATGAGGCGGGTGGCACGCATGATGTCTTCCAACACAGCCAACTTGAGGGCAGCAATTGACTTGCCAGGTAAATTAATCAAGCATTAGTTGAAAAAGTGCTAGTTTTATAACATAAACTTTCATTTACAACCAACTTAAATTTTTTAGCAGAATTTCTATCCCAAAATACATACTTTGGCTTTAGAAAAAATAATGCTCTCCAGCCCTCTGTGTGCTCACTCCACCATTACCCATGCCAACATTCCGTAATTAAGATAAACCCAGGTGAAAAGCAATAGTGCAAATTGGTACTATTCTCTAATTTTTAGTATCATTTGATACTAAGTGAGTTTCAGCCTCAAATAATTACTTTTTCGGGGCCCATGGAATGAGCCTTGAGGCCCTTGAGCCTACATGATTGATCAGATTGATGATATTGGACATAAAAGATATAAAAATAAAAATTGTATTTTAATTTCATTCAATATCCAAAATCCAAATATAAAAAAAGCTTATAAGCTGCTCAGAGGTGGAGATTATGGGTGGGCTGGCTGGAAATTCCACTGGCCCAGGGCCCTGAAGGGGCCCTTTTCCCTTTGGCCAAAGTATTAATGAAGTTTCAGTGTGTGACAAAAAAATTGCAAGATTCTCGCTGCTCTCGCCATCATTTTCTTGATGGAAATTAAAAAAAAAATCATTTGGACCGATTGAGGGACCTTTTGAGGCCCGGGGCTCACTATTTTAAAATCCCGAACAGACCAATCTGATCATTTCTGGCTACGCTTTTTTTACAACGCTCCCAGAAATCTTACTTTTTCTAATTTATTAATTTATTTTATCAAAAACTGCAAATTAAAGCAATTTCCTTTTCTCATAAGAAAATTAGAGGATTTTTGGTACATATTTTTATAAAAAAAATTTGCTCGCTTCGCTCGCTATAGATACTTCTGCGTAGTCCCTAAAAAATTAGACTTGCAAAATAAGATAGAATTTTCGGCTTCGAGGAATACAAATAAATTGGTTTCGACTTATATAATATTAATTTTATTTAAATTAAGATTTATTTATTGATTTTGATGGGTCGGGGGTCCGAAGGCCCTTCTGGGAGCCCGACTGCCAGTCCGACACAAAAGCGCGAACGTACTTCATGGCCCACCCACTTTTACCGCGGGCCGCGGTACAATTTCAAAAATTGTTATCTAAATTAATTATTTAATTCTATATTTGGCAAATAATGAGCGTTCCTGAGCTAGCCAAATTCCGAAAGCTTTATCTAAAAAATTCAAATGCGCTGTAGATAACGGATACTTTATTCTTCGCATTTGAAAAACTCACAAAACACTAGCATAATTATCTGGAAAAATTGAAAATGCTGCTTTGGAATTATCTGGAAAAATTGAAAATGCTGCTTTGGATTTTACTGCATTTCTTTGCACAAGTAGAGGAAGAAAGGGCACAGCGCGGTGCTCCTCTCTCGAGATCTCTGCGCTTACCCATCTCTCGGCCCTGCCATTGCGGCTTTACCAGAGAGGACAGATGAGAGGCGCCATTGCTCCAATTTAAGTTTCCGGTCGCCTCCAAAGGCTCGTTGGGGGGCGCGAACCCTGTTCTTTGGCACACACCGCGCGGCACTGCTGTGGGCCGGATCGCCGAACAAAAGCCTCACACAACTCACCTTTCTCAGTGCTCAGGTTGATGTAAAATCTGATCATAAACATTGTATATATTTAAAGTTCAAAAGGCGTGAAATTTTAATTATAATATGGAAATTTTCAAGTCTTATTTGCACTCGGTCTGAGAGAAGGAAAATATTTTGGCACGCCTGTGAGCCAGATCTCTATTGCTTAGCAGATTAAGCAGCCAAATTTAAGTTTTTGCCATGCTTAATACGGAGAACCGCTTGAAAGTGGAATAAATTTGTAAACAATACGTTCTCGGCATCGAAATTATTAATGCTTTCCGCTGCTTATTTTTATATTTGTCTGCAAAAGCAAAATTTTTACGCATTTTAACTGACCAAGTATTTTTAAATGCAAGTTGTGGTTTCGTAGATCTTGCTTGTCAGCGCAGGTCACTGAAAAAATACAAGACACCCCCGTACTTTTTTAATTTTCCCCAATACCGTTTTTCTTTCTTTTTTTTTTACAAAAATAGTAGGACATCATCAAATAACATTTCTTTTTAAATTTCAGTCTTCTTGTGAAAAGACCCCTCAGAGCTGGAACGAGTGATTGAACAGTCAGTCAACGAACTCAAGAAGAGCCGGAAAAAGGAAAAACGGTTCCTGAAACAAGCAAAGCAATAGTCATGAGTATTACTAAATTAAGTAAGATGATTGAATAAATGATTAAATTAACTTCTTGATATTTAAAATAAAATAAACACGACATTTGACCAAACTTTCATTAAAAAATTTGGATAAAAAGTCAATTTCTAGGCATGAAATTTATTTAATGTTCCCTCGTCTTTATGCAGAGTAATTATTGCAACAAGAAAATTAATCATATAACCAAATATATCAAGTTAATTATCTATTTATAAATAAAAACTGATAACTATACTTTAATTAATTGATTTGCAGACTTTCGCTTGCTGTTGTCCATATTCAAAGGTGGTTAATTCAGTCCGAGAACATTTCCAACTAACTGCCCAACCGATGTCAACTTGTGTCAGCCAGCTTGCCTGCGGGGAGAATTGAGGGTTTTGAACTCGAATTCATAAAATGAAAGGGAATTTCTATTTTACCATTTTCGAGTCACTCAATCATCAAGGAGAGGAAAGAGACCTTTAGTAGCTCTGCAGGTTGGACCTTCGTCCGGAGATGGCGTCGCAGCTTTTGAGCCTTCGCATTTAAAAAACCTTTAGCTGAGAAAATTTTTGTTGAAATAACAATTCAAGCAACTTCAATGGCAATTAATACCTCTCTTTCACCGATGACCAAAATGAATGAGGCCTCAGTCATTTCTTACTCTCCAACGACCTTAATTCATGGTCGCTGATGTTGAGACGCTTGGAAATTACAGGTGGAAAATCTCGGCCCTAACGCTTTGCACCACAGGATCATCACTGCCTCTGGAAATAGTTCATAAATTTTTTTTAAAGTATGATTTTTAAACAATTATGAAAAATGTTACGAGTCCCTTTTATAGTTTTAAGTTTTTAAGAAAGAACTTGTAAGAAATTTAAACCTGCCAGTTTGATCAATTTTTAATTATTTGATGAAACAAACCTCAAACAAATATCCAGATTGTTGCACAGGTCAGCTCAAATTCACGTTTTGGCCCAAGGATCGCTCTGCAATCAGAAAAAAGGCAAAGCAACAAAAAATGTCCTTGTAAAAATTCAAGAGGGGTAAAAGTGGCGGGTGAAAAAATGAGTGAGGTCAGAGTCCCTCGAGCAACGCGGCGTCCGTTGGCGGTTGGACGGCGCCTTGCCTGAGGTGCCCTGAGCCTCGGAGGTCCACGAAGGCGCGTCGGAAGCAAACTTCCCACGCGCCACCCTGGCAGGGCAGCACCAGGGGTGGACCAAAGTGGAGGGGGTTGAGAATGGATTCATTTACCTGAAGCACATCCGCACGTTGACCCCAGGAGGCCCAGGAATTTGGCTGTGAAAAAAGACAAAGTTGAAGAAAATGTCCACAGGGTTAAAAAGAAGCACTCACCTTTTTTAAAAATGGATTTCAGTCAATTTCTGACAAAATAAGGGTGTTAAAAAGAGGTAAATAAAAAGCAAAGTTTTGAACTTTTAAATTATAAACACATATTTATGCAACCATTAATCAAAGAATATACAATCATAATGCAAACTATTGTAGACAAAATGGAATAACTTTTCTGTGAGGCTTAAAACAGCTCAATTAGGCGCAAGCTCCGGGGAAAAAATTCTCATAAAAAAAAATTAAAAAAAAAAACACCTCTGTGAGCCCCCCGAGAAATCGACCTTGCCTGCCACGAGTTGGTCGGTGAGTTTTATCGAAGCACGGCCGGGGACAATGGCCGTGCTTACCCGGCCCATACCAACCTTCTGCGTCGTTGATCCTTAAATTCCGTTGAGCGAATCGAATGTTTGCCCCAGGCAATTTCCAGGATCCTAAACTTTTGCAAAGGACCCCGGGCCTAGGCACCGAAATCGCACGCAGAGCGCGGGGAGCAAGTGCCGACCCCTCGGGGAATGCGACTAGTTGTTTTGCCCAACTGTCACTCGGTCTCATTTCAAGTCAAAGGGTAAAAAAGGCAGAGGTGTTTGCAAAAAAAATCGGAGGAAAACTCTAAAATGGGATTGCAAAGAGGAGCTTCAGTGTTTAGACGTTTTTGAGGCGCCATCGGTTTTCAAACCAATTTTTCAGCTGATTCGGGTGAAATTGTTTTGTGCGTTGGTGCGAAATGGTTACATTCAAATTAATTGTGTGTTTGCAAAATGTACAATTGCATGGTTGAGTTCTTTTGGGTTATTTTTCTATACATCAAGGTTTTCTTTTTGTTTTCTTATAATTACGATTGTCTTGTTAATTTCAAATTTAATTTTACAAAGATTAAAATTTTTTTTAAGGTCGATATTCTTTTAATTCTATTATTTCTAAGATTAATTTTTTTCTAATTCTATTGTTGGAAGATTATATACATGTAAATTTATATTGCGTCGGATTATTATTTGTGTGTGTGTGTGTTTTGTTGGTTTCTTTAATTTTATTCTAATTGTTTATAGTTAAGTTCTAATATTATGTTATTATTTACATCTTTCTCAGGGGGTTGGGGGTGTGTGTGTGTCATTTTGTTGGGATTTTATTATACATTTAATTTTTTTATTATTTATATCTTTTTTTTATTTATTTTTTTTTTGTATTATTTCTACATCTATGAAGATTGCATGCGAATTGATTGCATTTTTCAGAAAGATTTATTTCATTAGCTGATTTTAATCCTGGCAGTTTGTTTTTTTTCCGAGGGGGTGGGGCGAATATTTTTCTATTACATTTTACGCTTAAATTTTGTAAGAGGAATTCATTTTTTTTTTAAATAGATAAGGCAAGATTTTGTATTTGTAATGTGCTGAAATTTTACATTTTTTTTTCATCTCAGCA